CCGTTCCGTTCACGGCCGGCTGCACGCTGGGTGCTGGGTGTCCATGTCACGAGGCTCTGCTGCACTGGGGTAGGAAATGCAGCAGAAGCAGATTAATTTAATATTTACAGGCTTTCAACTTGTGGTGTTTCCCAGGCTCTGCTCAGAGCCACATTGCAGCTTTGCTGTCAGGAGGCAGCAGGGACGGGGACGTGGGGGCAGGGGGCAGGCAGGGGGGAGCTTTGGGGCACCCAGTGCCGGCTGCGCGCCCGTCTCCCGTTCACGGCCGGCTGCACGTCCAGCTGGGTGCTGATCCTCCACCTGAACCCCTGCAGGTGTGTTTGGAGGTGGAGGCTGCCAGCAGGCAAAGCGTGTTGTGTTTTGTTTTCCTTTAAGAAGAGAAGTAGCCACGTGAGCTGGGCTCCTTGCTTGCTGCTCACTGCCTCTTCTAGGATGGGGATTTCAGAGGATCCTAATCAGCAACTGATGGTTAAGGGAGAGTTTTGGCAAGTCCGTTTGCCCCTCTCTCGCCCCAGTCCTCAGCTGCTCCATCTCTCGCTCAAGCTGGAGCTGAGCGGCTGCTGAGGGGCTTCGTCTTTGCCTGCTCCCGGCAGCAGCCAGTCTGCAGGGCAGGACCCCGCACACGCGCAGCTAGCCGAAGCTGCTGGTGGATCGATCGCTGGACTGGGCAGCCTGTGCTGTTCCTGGGACTCCTGCTCATTTCTGGTTAAAGCAGCATCTGCTGAAGCTTAGAGAGCAAAGCTTTCGAAGAGCACCCTGCTTCACTGCTGCGCGACTCTGCCTGCATTCGGGTGAAATCGTCTCGGTTTCTCTTGGTGAGCAAATAAATGAAAGCTGGGTGGCTTCTTGGACTTGGCAAATCTTAATGGGGAGGTAATGCTGTCCTTTGCTGAATATTCATGAGGAACTAATTTGTGCTTATGTTTCCAGATTGTGCTTCAGTCTGGGTGGTTTTTTTGTGTTGTTTTTTGTCTTGGCTTGCTCTGTTCAGCAGCCAACAAGCTGTTAGAAGCTTTGGTTTGACAATCAGGAGGGATTTGTAGTTCATCCTTCTGCTTTTCAGTTATATGTTAATTAGCCAGAGTGGGAAATGATTGGCAAGTCCCCTTTTAGTGGCCAAAAATGCTGTTCAGTGCTGCGCTCCTTTCGGCATGGCAGCAGTTCTCCTGCAGGAGCGAGCCGTGCTCCGCATGCCGGTGTCTGTCTCAGCAATCGTTCTCGATCCCCAGGGAGAGCTCGGCGCTCCGCACCCCTGGCGCAGCCACATGCCCCTGCCTGCCCATGGGCACTGGCGGAGGAGGAGGCACTCCCTGCAGGAGTTGCTGTCTGGCCTCCGAGCTCCTGCTGCAGAAAAAGCTATTCCATTGCTCCCCCAGGCTTTTTCTTTCTTTTCACCAATCTTTGCTGCTGCAGAGATGTCCCTCTGCCACAGGACGGGCCGTGTCTTCCTGCAGAGCGCTGCCCATGCGAGCTGGTGGCAGAGCTGCTGCGCAGGTTCCAGCTCATGGTCTCCCTGTGGCCGCAGGCTTGTGGTTCTGCGGCCGTCAGCACGGGCACCATGGCCACCCACAGCTTGTGGTCTCCCCATGGGCTCGTGGTCCTGTGGCCATCAGCACGGGCACCACAGCCACCCACAGTGACGTTGCCTCTCCTGGGGATGAGATGCTTATCTCGCCAGGAGCCATGCGCTCCCAGGCTGCTGCATCCAGAGGTGCGTCCCCCTGCCCTGCCCGGCACCGCACCCCTGCCTGCGGGCTCTGTCATGCCTGGCCATGGCAGCACCAGGCTCTGGTGGGCAGCTGCTCCCTGCTCCCTTGCCCCGTGCTTTCCCGCAGCTCCTGGGGCAGCCGAGCAGCCACCCAGCCGGAGGGCAGATGGCGGAGGGCAGGAGAGGTTGGTCCCTGCTCTGGGCTGGAGCGTGGCTGCCGTCCCTCGTGGCCACTCCACCAGGGTGGGGACGGCTGAGTCACCCTACTTGTGCTGCTTGCCGGCATCGAGAGGCAGGACAATACGCCTGGAGCAGCGCCTCGAGCGCGGGAACATGCTTCAGCCCCTCTCCTGCTGCGCCTTCAGCTGCTCGCCTGCGGGTCCCCTAAGGAGCGGGGCTGGCACCATCCCTTGCTGTGTTGAGAGACCACCTCCACGTGCCACCTCCATGGGGGCAGCTGAGCTCTTGTTGGTTGAGTTCGGAGCTAGCTTTCCATCACCGGGGGACTTTGGGACCTGCTGCCGGCGTAGCCATCCTCTCTGAGATGCAAGAAGACGGCAGCAGGAGAGGTGTGAGCTGCAGACCCGCAGCGCTGCGTCGGCCGCCGGTGCTCTCGATGCAGCTGTGTTGTACTACACTTCTGTGGCCTTGGGGTTTGGTGACTCCTCGTTACAGAAATGAAAACAAGCCTAGGTTCCTGGCTGCGTTAGACATGGCATCTAATGGCATAGACAGACAATCCAGAAGTGTGACCTTACAGACATGGTAATTGCTGCTTCGCCAATGCTTTTGCTTCTCTGGGTTTGGATTTACTTATCAGGGGTGTTGTTAGTCACGAGGGTGGTGTTTTTGTTTTGACAGTCCTTCCTGGCATCGGTTCTGCAGCTGCAGTGCTGCTTAAATTAGGTTTTACTCTCGGAGGAGTCTCTGCTCCTCTGGATTTGATGGCTGGATCTCTTTTATTCTGAGGCATGAATTTGCTAACGCGGAGTTACAGTATCCCTGATATTGCAGAGGATGATACCAGAAGATATACTTCTCTTCAGGGGTCTTGTGATTACAGGGTCTCTGTAGGGCCGTAGGTGTAATTACTGGGGTTAAAAGGTTTGCTGGTCTAAGCCTGCCCTACTCCATACAGTTAAATATAAGCAGGGATATTCGAGTCGGTGCCTCTGCAAGCGTTACTGCATTTTTCCATAGTAATTGTGCTTTCACAACAGCAACGTGCAAGGATTAGAGAAACAGGACGCTCTTGTGGGGTGAGAAATCCTTTTCGTAGGAAGGCAGCCGGCAGTAACAGTTGTCCGCCCTTTGTCTGAGGTGCCTCTAAGGAACCGGTGCCCACAAGCCTGGGTGCTGATGGCAAGCTGCTCCTCCAGCAAAGGCCAAAATGGCTATTGCCAGGAATATGAGTGCCTTTGTCCTTCTCTGACAGATGCTACCCATGATGGGTAACATGGGGAGCTCTGCAAGCTTCATGTGCTCCAGTAAGCAACCTATGAGAGTCTCCCTGTGTGTGCCCACCAGAAAATAACCCTTCTGCTTCCAGAGGGAATACAGCAGTAGCCGCCATGAGCAAGGGTCTGAGAAGATGACAGGCAGTTAGGCAGGGGCTAACTGTGCTGAGCCAAAGTACCAGTTTGGGGAGCCCCCAGGCGTCCTGCTGTGTAGGACATCCCGTTAGACAGACTGGATAGTCCGTGCAAGTGAAACGGGGAAGCAAAACTTCATGGCAGGAGAAACAACTAAAGAAAGAGAAAGGATTTTATTTATGAAACACAGCTTCAAACTTTGTGGTCACTGCTGAATTCATGAGGAGAATAACTAATATCCACCAGTCTGGCGGAGTCCATCTGCTCTGTTTCGTGGTGGCATTGGTGTGTGTTTGCTTATTCATGAATTTCTGAATGGGGGCAAGAGAACAGGATTTCAGGGCTTTTGGGAGATAATTGTTGAAAGATACCATTAATTCTGCAGGAGGCTGGGACTTCCTAACTCTGCTTTCCACTTTCTTGAGCTTTCAAAAGCTAGACAGAGTATTTGGACATCCTATACATGCCCTGTAGTATGTATACACTAGTCCTCAGCTACTTGGAGCTGGCATTGCAGCTGCTGCCAGGCTGGAATTTCCTTACTTTAGCAATTTAACTGCCTCTCAGCAATCACTGATGGCTCAGTTACCATCTGATGTGGGTATTTGTCAACCTGGCTTCTACTCATGGTTGTTTCTTGATTGCCACAGTGCTTTGTGGTTTCAGTGTCATTGTAAGGCACAAGCAAACGGCCTGGTCCTCAGCTCAGCTCCTCCCTGCGTTCTCTCTGGGTTTCATTGTCAAATGTCTCCTTTTGCTCTCATTCTAGACATTTACCCTTTCAGGTTTGTCAGTGCAAACAACTCTTTTTGTTATAGTGGTTCCTTCACAAAGTCTTTTTTTCTCAAGAAATCAGTCCACACTTCATGTTTGCATGCCTGTGGTAGGCATGTTTGAGATGGACAGTAGGTCAATAAGAACCAGACCATCTGCAGGGAACCTCCAAGAGGTGAAGTCTTCACATTGTGCATTGTAAAACAGCTGTTTGAGGCAGCGTTCACCTGGGCCGTATTCGGGCTGGGCACTACGCAGTAAAACTTGGGTAAGCTTTGACTGCGAGGTTTGTGATCTCTGTTTCCACCACTGCTAATAAAGAGACAATGACTTCCCTCCCACTTATCACCCTTCTTGTCTTCTGCTTTTGTTCTGATGCTTTTCAGAAACACACGATAAAAGCTTCAAAACAGAAAACTGCCAAACTCCTAACAAATCTTTTCTTATCACGGACATGTCTTTGACATGAAAGTATTTGCCCAGTTGTTTCTGAACTATGTGAACAGCACGTTAGCAAGTGGTGAATAGGTTTTTGATGTATTAGTATGTCTCGAGTTTACCTGACGTTGAAGAGATTGAGAGGGGAATGATACCTTGTCGGTGGGGCTTTTGCTACAATGCTGACATGACAAAATACTTCAAGTGCCTTTGCCACCAAGTATTGCCAGAGCTTGGTCTTGAGGCATAACTGAATCCAGTGTAAGCAACTGACTGAAAGCAGAGCAAATGGAAAGTGGCCTCCTGTTCTGGTGGGTCGACCAGAAATTTTCCGTAGGAATACTGAATTGCAGAAAAGGTCTTGGTGTTGTTGCATGTTCTTATCTGGAAAATGCCAATAACTGGTTCTGCTTCAACTCTTGCATCTACAGGAAAGAAAGAAAAAGTTTGAGAAGGATGGTGAGAAGTTTTATTCTATGCTGGATCGCCATTTGCATTTGTCTTCCAAAAAGAAGGAATCCCAGTTACAGGAGGTGTGTATGGAGTTTTCTTCAGTTGGGTCCAGAATCAACACCACCAGCTGCTCTAGATCTTAAAAAAGGGGGGGGGAAATCATCCCTTTCAGTAACCAGTTGAAACTGATGAGCAATTAAATCTGCCTAAGGCCTATTCACATGGATGAAACCAGGGATATCGAGGTGGTAGTTCACTGTAAAGTGTCAAGCAGCAACAGTGGCTTTATGCATTGTCATCGCTTGTTCTCACCCTTATAGTATAAGGCAGTGACCAGTTATACTGGCACAGCTGGGGATTGACCACCCTTTGAACTGGCTCGGGGAACTGATCTGGCTGAAAAATAACTGGTTATTATTATTTTTGCCAGCCTAGTTTCCTGCCTAGCTCCTGGTGTTTGCAGGGGTAGTTGTGGCAGCAGGCCCACGGTGGCAGTGAGCAGCAGGCAGAGGAGGGATGGTGCTCCTTCGAACTGATGCTGCCACCAAACATGTTGCAACAAGAAGGGAAAGCCCCAGGTGCTCCAGCCCACATCAGAGTAGCCAGATCAAATCAGATCTGTCAAAACAGTTGTCAGATCAAACTACAAGCATTTTTGCAAGGCAAAATTTGTGTAAGCTGTGGTAACGTGGCATGCCACATTGTGCTACCTGGTGCTGCAGCTCTGGAATTGCTGGTTTCGGGTCACAGCAGGAGTCAGGTGAGAGGATCATGACAGTGGCCTTGTCCTCACTGGTGCAGAGCTGTGGGTGGAGAAGGAGCTTATGCTAAAATAACAAATACGCTTTGGGAAAGCCTTGTCCTTGCAGAGGGGAGTGAGGTTCTGGATCCATAAATGAAAGGAAGCCAGAAAAGGGCAGACCTGAGAAGAATGGCCAATGTTCCAGTCTTCTGGTTCTGTGCAAAGTGTTCAAAACCTGGGCTGGGCACCTTTGGCAGACTTTTTCTGAAGTGAGGACAAAACTATTTGTGGGCTGACAGGCAAATGCTAGTCAAATATTGTCAAGCTAGATGTGATGTATTTTCTTTTTTCACCTCTCCCTCTTTCTTCCAGGCTGACCTTCAGGTTGACAAAGAGAGACACAATTTCTTTGAGTCCTCCCTCGAGTATGTGTACCAGATCCAGGAAGTACAAGAAAGCAAGAAATTCAGTATCGTTGAACCGGTAGGAGCTTCATTTTCTTTCAGGCCTTGTTGTTTGATGCTCAGATATGCTGACTTGCTGACAGTTGCAGGAAGGGATGAGTTACAAGGTTGGGTTCGGTCCTGGGGAGTCTTGTGATGGAGCAGGAGTTAACCTTGCACGCTTGGATTGCTGCAGCTTAATAGCCTTAGTGGTGTTTGCTGGAGCACCGTGAAGCCACAAACTTGTTTCTCATGTCTGTAAGTCGATCCTGAGGAACAGGCTGGACGCTGTAGGTAGCTAGAGATCTTGTCATGAATTATCTTGGACACCTTGTGTTTGGTTAGCATTAGCTGTCTTCAGAGGGAGAGAGTTGTTATCTGGTCCGCTTACCTGTCATGGCATGGGCTGCAGTGGTACCAGCTCGTGGCTGTGTACAAGGACCCTGCCCTGGGTGGGTGTCTCTGCCCTGGCACCGGGCATGGTTGAGCGTGGGATCGTGTAGGTCTTGTGGACAAGCAATCTGCAGATCTGCTTGTGTTCTCCCAGCAGGGTCTTTCATTTCGGGTGTGTTTTATTAAGACAGATGTGTGGGTGGTAGACCTGAGCTTTAGGGACATTGTGGTGGATAAGTCATACTAAAACTTGCATCACTCCAAAATTGTAAGGAAAAAAAAAATTGTATATGTAATTTCTGAAACTCTGTTTCCTGTCTATCTTTCCTCTGATCAGAAATATAGAAGAGAAGTTTAATCTGTGTCCTTTCCCTCCTTTGCAGGTGCTGGCTTTTCTCCACAGTCTCTTTACTTACAACAACCTGACAGTTGAGCTCACGCAGGATTTCCTCCCTTATAAACAGCAGCTTCAGCTCAGCCTGCAGAATGTGAGTTCCTGCCCAGCTGAAGTATTTTTTGCATGTGACTTCTATTCTCATTTGTATTTAAACGCCTCTGGTGGCAAGGCTTTTCCATGCAAAACAGACTGTCCATGTTTGCATTGTGGGAGGTGCAGATAAAGTTATTTCCTTCTCAGTTCACTTGTATTTTCTCCTCTCCTGCACAAGAGAGTCTGCAGGTGCTATTATAGTGTTTTTCTCTGTCTAGAAGGGGCTATTGCAATTGTATCATTTAACCTTGTGCATAAACAAGCCTGGGAATTTCTTCTAATTTCATGAGGTCGAAATTGTATACGTCTTCTAAAAAGGCCTCCAATCTTGATCTTAATAGTATCGGCTTACTATGTGCTTTGATAAGCTCCTCCACTGGCTAAGTATGCTCATGGGGTAAAATATCTGTGTCCTGTTTCTTTTATCCTCAGTCTTTCATGGCTCACCCTCATTCCCTTGTAACAACAGCCATAAATCTGTGCCAAGCTGAGTTTGCTGCTGGCTCATTAATTGGTCTAAGAGGTGTTCCTTAAAAATGCCTTGATTATGTACCCTGTGTTGACCTGACTCTTTAAAAATCATTTCATGCCAAGCAGCGTAGCGTGATCTTTTGAGGAATCAACACCCGTGTTTGTAGGAGAATACGCCTGCTTCCTTCTGCTCCACCTAGCCTTAGAATGTGCTAAGTTTCTTTTATTGAAAGGACAAGTGTCCTCCCAGTTATGACTCCTCGACGCCATTTCCATGCACGGTATGTTAAACCTTGTCTCTTAGATCATCTTTTAAGAGTCCAGTGTTCTCATAGCTGTGAATTTGTGGAGTGGCTTCTGCATTTTGTACATTGGGGACGATTCATTTCTGCCAGAGCACCTAAAATTTGACCAGGGATACATGAAGCTTGCTCTTTGCTCACGTTCAAATGTGCTTCTTTTTGTTTTCTCTTAACAGACGAGGAATCATTTTTCCAGCACGCGGGAGGAGCTGGAAGACCTGAAGAAGAGGATGAAGGAAGCCCCCCTAACCTGCAAGCTACCTGGGCAGCCGACCATTGAGGGCTATCTGTACACTCAGGAGAAATGTAATGGCTTTTATATGCACCTGAATGCGTTAAAGAACATGTAAGCCCGGGCTGCCCGGCTCATAGCCCCACTGCGTGGGCTGTGCTCGGCTCCCGTGCACCAGCTTTAGCCGCGGTGTTGCTGTGGGCTGTGCTGCACGGGGTGTCACCGCCTGCCAATGCACGGGGTGCCCGGGGAATCACCAGCAGCTGTAGCTGCCAGCTTTCTCAGTGGTGGCAGAGAGCTTTCTCTGGGTTACATGAGCCGTGTAAGCAAGGAGCTAATTGCCCTGCACTCAAATTAGATGAGATTTATTACTCTCTTGTAGCGCTGGAGAGACTGGAGCTCTGGCAGATTGCACCTTGGCTGTGTTTTATCAGAATGAATCTGGTGTCCTGCCCAGCTTCCCTCTCACAGTGTCTCTGAGGGCATCTGAGTACAGCTGAAGTGTTAACCAGCAATGAGAGTTAAGCTGCTGAGAGCAAAACTTGTTGTGATTCTGTGCGGAATCAAATCAAACTAAATTCAGTCTTTTACAAATGCTCACTGTAGCTTTATACGGCCATGCAAGCATGAACACTCAGGGGACAAAAGCCTGTATGCAGAGCTGTGGCCTCTGAGTCTACAGACAACTTTGTGAGCAGTTAATTTTTGGATTATATATACAAACGTATTTATACATATATTTGTATGTATGTTTATCCTGCTTTTAAAAGAAAAAACATAGACAGTGATTTTAGACCACAAACGTTGCATGTTCCTGCATGCCAATGACTGTTTGCTGCCATTATTTATGTTTCCCCTATAAATCGAGTATGAAGAGAGTTGTTCCTCTTGACGCTGCAACTTAAAAAAAAATTACAGAAAAAATAGCAGTTGAAGTATTTCATATAAAGGGGTTCAGGTAAGACAACAAAGAAAAGCGACAATAAATCTAGTGTGATATAAATAGGAACTTTAGAGTGTTTTAAAGATGCTGTTGTCTTTACTGCCAGGTTTTCATCAACAGGAAAAAATAGTGGTGTCTGTGTGAAACAAGCATTCAAGACACGTAGGATCCTGCCAGTGTAGGTCTTGGCTGGACTTGGCCAAACCAGCTTGGCTTGCGACCAGAGCCCCAGAAACGCCCTTTCACCAGCAGCGTTTTGGGAGGGCGCTGGAGGCGGCTGCCGCCCTGCGCTCTTCTCCTCCCCTCCTGCTCCTCCTGGCCCTTGCCAGTGGAGATGCTGGCGAGGGAGGTGTCCCCCGGGGCCGGCGGTGTCTGTCCCCAGAGAAGCACGGACATGCGGGAAATGCCGGCTGTGCCTTGCCAGCTGCATCCAACTAAGGCGCTGTCTCTGACTGCAGCTTCCCGTGTGTTTCTGCAGGGGCGCTGGGCATCTCCTGGGTGAAATATTATTGCCAGTATGAAAAAGAGGCAAAAACCTTACGGATGACGCCCATGGACCAGAAGCCTGGAGCTAAGCAAGTGAGTTGGTTTCTTGGAGGGATGTCTGCAAACATTGAACCAGCCATCAGGTCTCACCTTCAGTCCGCCCACATCATCTCTTTCCGTAAGCAAATAGACGTACAAGTGCCACGTCTGGGGTAGTAGAGGCCAGCCCCGCTGTCGGAAGCAGTTGTCTGGCAGCGCCAGTCCTCAAGACGTGCTGACAGTGAGCTGGTCCCAACGCTGTGGCTGTGGAAGGGCTCCTGACCACAGAGCAGAGGGGTGGGCTTCGTGTCCCCTCCCTGCCTGGCTGCACAGGCGGGTGGTTTGGTGTGACCTGAAGGAAGCACCTCTGTGAAGAGAAGTTTCACCTCCCTCTCTCCGAAATGACCTGAAGCCCTGCAGGGTGTGGCAGCGGAGATGCGGGTTCATGTAATGTGAGCTTTATTCGGGCAATGGTGACTTGCAAGTTTGGTCTAGTGTGAAATTTCTGCCTTTCTAGACAAGCTAATTTTTATATTTATCCATGCAAATGGGCAGTGAACCTGCAGCCTGGTTTGCACGTAGGCCTCTGGCAGTGATTGCAAGTACTTGAATTACTCAAGTTATTAGATGAGTGCTTCTAAAAGCAGTATTTCTCTGCCTTTGCATGTTCACACAGTCACTGGTTTGTGATTTTGATTTCTGTTCTCAGAACTGGTTAGGAGAGGAGGAGAGGACAGCAGTTGCAGCTCTAAACTGTGCGATAAGGCAACAATTTGGGGAACTGCTTCTTTCACAAAATGCTTTGGTTTTTACCAGTGAGTGATGTGTCTGGGAGTTCCCTACAGTTCCTCGGTGTGACAGAGGAGGGGTAGGATGCAGGCGTGGATGACGGACGGTGGCTCAGAGTACAGCAAGTGCGTCCAGCTGAGTCCACCCACCCTCCTCTGCCATGGAGCGACGTCCCCCGGGGACTTCCCGGTCAGGCATGCTGTTCTCCAGTTCATGATCTCATGGTCCGTTCTTTGGCAGCCCTCTGCATGCTGCAGCAATAAAGTAAAATGTACTTTTTGGAAGCCCTTGGCAGAGACGTTGGCAAAGAAATGTCCAAAACATTGACCGGGGAGATCTATTGTCATCTCTGCCGTAAACTTGTCTAGTAAGGCCAATTAATGCAGGTAGGGGCTTGTGAAAATGTAAATTAGTCCCCTTCCCAAGCTCTTGCACTCTGGTAATGTGCACCTTCGGGTCACAGCTGGCCACACAGCTTCAAACGCCACAATTACAAGGAGTGCTCTTAAAAGCCCCAAACGACCAGCACGCACACAAAACACAGCCGGGAGATTATCATCACAGCGCGTAAGCCGGACGTAATCTTGGAGGAGGGTGTCATTGCCCTGGGCTGTCCTGGATCTGCTTGATCCACTTCTGCCAGAGGTGTTGCAGACGCAGCGGTGGTGACAGTCAGGGTGATGAACATGTTCCAGGTTTGCAGACTCAGCCCTAGGTCTGGCTGGTTGTAAGATCTCCCGGGTGTCTCTTCAGAGTTCCTGCAAAGTCGTGGAGATCTCACAATCACGTTACAAATTGACTCCGCTGTAGAGTCAGTTAATGCCCCTTTAGTAAGGGGCACGAACGCAAAGGGCCAGAGCTCAGTCCCGCAGGGCCGGCCTTTCATCAGAGTGCATCTGCTCTAGATTTGGTCGGTTAACATTCTTTTTCTACAAGGTATTTTGTGTAAAGCTGTTTGGACCATGAATGCTATGGATAATTGGTAGCGCTGATCAGCCCTGATAAAAATTAGGACCCAGCTGTGTCAGATAACAGACAAGCATGGTCCTGGCCTCGTGAGGTTTGTTTATAGCAGTGTTCCTGCTCTATGGAGGCATATTGCTTGTTGCTGAGATATTTAGCACTTGTTTGCGGGGTAGTGCCGTGAAGTCTAGAACATTTTGTGGCTGAGGAGAGGAAGCCTGGCTCACAAAGCCTTTGATCTCTGTCTTTGTTGATGGTGGGAAGGACCATCTGTGCTCCATTGGTACCTCTGTGCTGGTACCAATGCCATCGGATTGGCAGGGCACCCACTGGGAGACTGGTGCTCTACAGGCAGTGCCATGCTGGGCTGCAGCCTAAGGGTGCTGAGGAACCTGAAATCTTCTCCCGTATTTCTTTCCTCTAATCTTGGCTTTAATTTTCTCTCCAAGGGCACCTTAGACCTGACACTGAAATCCTGTGTAAGGAGAAAGACTGACTCTATAGACAAAAGGTTTTGTTTTGACATTGAAACCAATGAAAGGTAAGATGCTTAGTATTCAAATGGCCTCCAAACAGATAAACCCTGTAAACCTGGATGAAATTGCATTCTGCTGTTTATTAAAAACAACTTTTGCTTCATTTTCCTGCCTGTCCCTGGATGAACTCTGCGCAGGTCTGGGACCATCACGTTGCAAGCACTCTCAGAAGCCAATCGAAGGCTGTGGATGGAAGCCATGGACGGGAAGGAGCCGGTAAGTGTTCAGGGAGCTGCTGCCCAGCCGTGAATGTGCTGCCTAGCAGTGTCCTCTGCCGGTGAGTCCTGGGGAAGAGCAGTGACACAGCCACTGGCAGGCTCCTTTTTATAGCTGTCACTTCACTGCTGTTGCTTACCTGTAATTCAGGCATCAGTTCAGCCACTGCACAGCCGAAATGGGGTTTTGTACTGTTCTGCTCGCGGTATGGCTTGCAACGGGGATTTTGGTTTTCCCCTTTTAAAGCTCTGGTGCGTTCCCTAGTTGTGCAAGACTGCCTAAGGACTGTGGCCTTACTGGCTCTGGAACACTCGATATTTCTGTTGCTCACAATTCGCTCTCCAACCTGCGGGAGGTGATTTTTTTTGTCTGTCCCTGCTGTGAGCAGCGTTTGGAAAGTCTGGCCCATGGGAACAGCCACCCTGCACCAGTGTTCACCCGCCTTTCTGTGCCTGCTGGTGTTTCCTTCCTTCAGACTGAACAAAGCACAGACAGCGTGATGTGCAGTGCGGGAAAATCCATTTCTGGCAGCTCCCCTTGCCTTTGGAGAGCTGCCTTTCCCTCGGTGGGCTCGGTGAAGAGGGTTGGCAATGAGTGCGCTTGCTGACCTGCTCAGGGCTGTGTGGCTGCTGATGCGGAGGTGGGACGTGGGAGCAGGGAGATGGGACGTGGGCACCCTCCGCAGCACTTTTCTGCTACTCGTTTAAAGAGGAAAGGACGTGGGATAGTGTGGAGGGTCAGTGTGCTCATGCTGGGCAGCCAGTCACTTAGGGGATGTCTGGGGCTCAGTTTGTTTGCATAACGTTATTATGTATAAAGGATTTTTGATTTTCTATCAAGAATGGCACCTGCTCTTTATTATTAATAAAAAAATACAAAATTTATTTTTGTATGGGATGAAGGAATGTCTTGACACTTGAATTTTTAAAACCAAGCAAACAAACAAAAAACCCACAACCGCTGTGTGCCAGACTGTCCAGCTGCCGTTTCTACAGGGCACCTAAAGGACAAACAAAAGTTTCCTGTTCAGTTTTTGGGAGACCTCTTTCCTAGAAACAGGTGCTCCAGTGAAATGTAGGAAGTCAGCAAAAACTCATTTATTGTGTAGATAATGGTGTCTTGCTTAATTATAAAATGACATTTCTTTGGGACATTGTCTTACTGTTTGTGATTGGCTTTGGGTGATTTAGGGGGTGCTGCATTTTCTTTCAAAAATAAATACCGAATCACATTGCGCTATGTTTTTGTTTCTTCCTCCTCCATTCCCTCCCCTTTTTCAGATCTACCACAGTCCCATCACGAAACAGGAAGAAAGTGAGTCATTTCTGTTGCTGTTCTCTGACCTGTCGAAGCTGTCCGGAGGTCGGGCAGTGTATTTCCTTGCAGACACACTCGTCCTCGATTTCTGCTGAATAGGCTGTGTATTCCCTCCGTGGCGGCAGTGTAACTTCTTTCCTTTTCATCACAGTGTCTGATACTGAGGCCAGATAAGAATGAGTTGCAAACGGTAAAAGTTACCGATTGCAATGTGCAGTTTTTATTTAGCAAGAACTAGCGGGATGCGGAGTTCAATTTGCACCTCTCAACCCCAAAATAACAGAGGGGAAAAAAGATCAGTGAGACATTTTGAGGACATTTCCCTTAGCAAAGATTATGATAGGAAAATAGAGGTGGCATTTAGTTCCCTGGAGCTCCCATCCCACCGCCTTGTCCCGTGTCTCCCCTTTCACAAGCGGAGCGTACCCTGCCCACCACCCCTGCAGCCCCGGTGCAGGCTGCCGCCCCTCTTGCCTTTCCCCGTTTACAGCCCGTTACTGCAGTGGCTGAGCGGGCTGCCCTGGAAAACTCTGGGGCTTCATTAGCTGGGTGAAAACTTGCCTTCTGTATCTTAGAGCTTACTTTTATCAGCATTTTAATTAGCTGACTTTAATGAGCATGGAGGTAGCATTATCAGAGGCATAAGCATGAAACCTGTTGTTTGACTGTGTTTGCATTACACGCCTGGAAAGAACGCGTGTAATGTTCACAGTGTCTCACAAAAGTAAATACGCTCTAATAGATTAGAGCTAGAAAGACTTCAAGTCGTATTATACCACTCGGTACCAAGCACTGAGTACCGAGTGGATCTGTGCTTAATAGTGTCTTTACTCATTCCTACGTTAGAGCTAAGGTATGTCTGAGCTTTTTGTCGCTGTTGCTCAGAGAAGAGAGAATCGTTGTAAATGACTTGCTGAAAACACAGCAATTTCATAGGATTCACCAACATGGCCTGTGCTGTGGCTGGAGTTGGTCCAGATGTGTCCTGTGGCTTTTTTTTTTTAAAAGGAAATTTGTTTTTTTATAAAAAAAAAAAAAAAAAAAAAAAAAACCAACCAACAAACCACCCCTCTAAAAAACCCTACAACTTACCCCCCCCCCAAAAAAAAAAAAAAAACCAAAAAAACCAAACCTACAACAGCATGGTCATTTAGGAGAAATTCAATATAAATGTTTGCACTGAACAGAAAGATATTTCACATTATAACTTGGACAATCCTTCCATATATCCCAGAAAAATTAGCAGAAGTAGTAGTGTGATTACAGAAGATGAAATATGTGTATAGAAAAAAATCCTGACTTTCTACCTGCTTCATGGTGCCTGCAAAACAGGCACAGAGACAGTCTGTGGTTAATTGGCTGGAACAAAAACCTGTGTTCTGCTTTACTCAGCATATCAAGCTGTATTGGTTTTGCTTTTTAATCTAGTCAAGTAGATAAGCAGAAATTACACGATCCCATGATGTGGAAGAGCTTTAACTGCAGATTTTGCAGTGCTCTGGAAATGATTAATCAACTCCTTATCAGACACAAATTCACATGTGGCGGCACTCTGATTTACGCTTTTATTATTAAAGACAGAAAGGGGGTAAGGAGCAATGCTGTAACTCAAAATAGACTTGAGGAAAAGTGGAGAACATATGGGACTAATAATTCCTTGTCAGGATTTAAAGCATGCCTGTGTTTTCATGGAGGGACATACACGATGCAGATGCACGTGTGAACCCGGCTCTGCGCTGGGGCACTGCAGCTCTGTGTGCCGAGCAGGGTCTGGGTATGGGGCCTTCCCAGTAGTTTTCCACGGGGAGCCGCGTGCTGGTGCTCAGGCAGCTAACACTGCTTCCCTTGTTTGAAACAGTGGAGTTGAATGAGGTCGGCTTCAAGTTTGTACGGAAGTGCATCAACGCAGTGGAAACGAAAGGTAAGGTGCCCGCCGTGGCATCAGGAGGTGCCGCCGTCCTGGCACGCGTTGCTGCCCGCGGCCTGGAACTGTATTGCATTTTCTGCGGCGTAGCGCTGTTAGTTAAAAATCAAAGTCTCATGTCATTGACTGAAGAACGCATGTCAGAAGAGCAGAAATCCTGCACGGTCTGGAATGTTGTTACACCCAATTCTGGTTAGGATTGAATTTCCACCTTCATGCTGTTTTCATTCATCAGTTGGCTCTGAGAAAACTCATTGTTAGGCAGAAGGAGAACAGCTCTGTACTGGGGGCACAGGCAGGGGTTAACTGGGGTACTGGGTTATTCAGACCCGTTTTGTTAAAAGCAGTAGGACAGAAGCAGGCTGGTGGATGCTAACTCACCCTCTGGTCTTTCATGAAGCGCCCAGCTTGTACCAGTGTACATCACCGGCATGGGCTATAGGACGAAGATAAATCACTCCAGAGCAGCTGGATCCCCAGGCTGCCGCAGGGAAAGGTGGCAGTGGTCTCATTTCCAGAACCTTTGGGGGATGTGGCCAGCCAAGCCCCGCTGAAGTGGGGAGGAGCAGGGTAATGAGACCCTCCTCACAGAGCCGGGCAAATGCAGCAGTTCTGTCTTTCCTAACATTGGCTAATATTTTCAAAGAATCTGCTTAAATGCGTTTGCCTTCTGCGACAATTTGAACAAATTCATGTTAAAGCAGCACTCTCCAGAAATGGAGTATTTAGGCAGTAGGGCTTGCCAGCTCGAGCGCATATTCCACGCGTTGGCTGTGCTCGCCTGACCATGAGAAATGGAGTATTTAGGCAGTGGGGCTTGCCAGCTCGAGCGCATATTCCACGCGTTGGCTGGGGTCGCCTCGCAGGAACGAACGTGCCCGCCGTGGGCGAGCCGAGCTCCTGCCCGCAGCCCCCTGCCCTCTGCCAGCAGAGCCGGGCGCTGGCAGCAGCAGCCCCTTGCTGCGGGGCAGCCCGGGGTGCGGAGGGACAGGGCCCGGGTGGTTCCTGGGGCAGAAGCTTTCCTGCTGAGTCAGCACCCCGACAGCTGGGAGAGGAGTTCCACTAGATGGGGCTTTTGGACTTCCCACCAGCTGGGGAAGACCTTTGGCTAATGCTCTTTGGCTTTCTCCTGCTTAGGGATAACTACGGAGGGCGTCTACCGGACTGTTGGCAGCAATATTCAGGTGCAGAAGTTGCTGAATGCCTTTTTTGGTAAGAATTAATTATTCCGTGCAGCTAGATTGTCCTGGTTTTGTATTGTTTAAGAGGGACAGAGAGGATCTGGTTTCACAGTGAGAAATGTCCAGCATGGTTTTTGGTCCCTGTGGCCCCTCTGAGGCACATCTTCCCCTTCTTTTCTGGGCTTTTTTCTGCAGCCTGCTCTAGTGCCTCTCCCTTTAAACCACATTTATTTGTTGGTGGTGCAACCTGCGTTTTAAGTTAAGTGAGCAGCAGTGAGATAAAGGGAGGCAGTGACCCTGGAGCAGTGGGGACAAGCCTTCTCCCATCGTGTGCTAAAAATATTCAGGCATTTTGGAGTCACGTGCTGGGGATGCGTTCCTGACACAGGCCCAGGGTTCGGGACATCAGTCAAAGAGAGATGAGCCCGAGCCCTCTCCTCCACTGCCTGCATGGCCGGCAGCTCCCAGCGTGCGGAGCGGGGCTGCGGCAGCTCCCGGTCAAACCGCGGCAGCAGCGGAGGGGCTGTGGACAGCGGGGCTGCTCGTGCGGTTGGGCGCACGTGGCACGGGTTTGCCAGCATCGCCCAACAGTCAGGCAACAGCAAGAATCATTGCTCGCCCAGCCATCACGACTCCTTTCCCTTGGTAACAGCCTGGGTCCCCATTCTTATTTAGGCAGGGCAAATGAGAACCAGACCTGCAGGTTAGCGCTCATTAATTAGTGTGCGGGATCCTGAGGGCCTCAGTGTTCGGGCAGCCCCTCCTGCAGCACTGCTGCCAGGGAACTCTCCCGGCCAATGCTGTTCATGGGGAGGTGCCTTGTCCCATGGGTCCAGCACGGCTACCTCCTAAACTAGCCCCCGCAGACGAGCTCAGGGGGACACTTTTCCTCAGTGGGGTATCGCGGAAAGCTATACCGGGAAGGTGGCCTCCGCAGGGAGGCCGTTACCCTGGTTTAAGGTTTTCACCCAGAAGGACTGGGATACCTCACTGTATGCAATGTATACGTTAATAAGGCAATGCATGCATTTCTGCTGTAAGCCTTTCTGTGCACTGAATCTTGTATTTCATACAAGCGTGTAAATTGGTGGGCAGTCTTCGTGCGAGAAACGGTTAAACTCCCTGCAGCAGGTTGTGGGGCTCAGCAGCGTTGCTCCGTGCCAGGACAGGTGCTCCTGGGCTGGGACCTGGCTGAGGCCATCGTGCCCCTGCCCCGTGGTACGTGTGGGCCGGGGCATGCTGCGAGCCCCTTAAGTGAGCCCCGAGGGTCGGTCTCCCACATGCCCGAAGGCTGAGCCGTTCCCACCGTCCCTGCCCGAGGGGCTGGAGCACAGGGCAGAAAGTACGTTTACATTGATACCTGTGTGCCTCAGGCCTGCACCAGTTCCCTGTGCAGACATCTGATATTAATGTAGTATTCAAAGGCTTTTACTATTGTTTTTTACTATTGTTACTATTGCTTTTACTATTGTTGTTGTTTATTAAAACGGCTGGTTTGTGCTGACACATAGCTGTACCCGATTCCCATGGAGCCACGACTTCAGACAGCTATCCGGTTACGCTTGCCTGATGACTAATTACTTAGCCTAAGTTTTTATTGCTTCTTGATTCTCACCCTCCCTGTGAGTAGCTCTGTGGTTTTCTCCTCTGAACCCCACCAGTGAGCGGTTTTTTGTTTTATTTATATGCGTTGGTCTGGTTGACCACTTGCCACCCTACTGTGTACGAACTCACGATGAAAAGTCCAACAACGCAGAAATAACTGCTGCAGAAGGATTTCATGCTGAACTTCAGTAAGGAGATAGGGGTTTTTTTCTTGTTCTTTTTTTGTCTCTAGTCCTATTTCTTTTTTAAAATAAATCATGCAGTTTATTTCTTTAGTCCAGCTGCCTCCCATCCTCCAACCATGTCCTTTACTTCATCGTACCACAGAAATTATGTGGTTGTTCAGTGAGGATAGGCAGGAGCAAAGTGTACTTCCACGCTGCTGTGCCTCCTCCTCTGAGCTCCCTCCTCTCCGTGCAGTGAGAGGGAATGTTTCTAGAACAGCCTTCAGGGGAGTAGCTGCGAAGGAGGGATTGGAGCTGGACACTTAGATTACTCTGGGTATCAGAAAGCTTGTCTTGGACCTGTTGAAATGTGTCGTTTCTGCCAGTCTTGGCTGTGCTGGGAAAAAGCAAACTATAGGATATATCACTAACTTTTCACCACTGCTTAAATGTTACCTTCTGCTTCTTCCTTTGTCCCTAGTTAGCACTGCTCCTCAGCCTTTCCAAAATACTGACACTGGTACTGTTGTTTCGCTTTTCCCAGCCGTGAGAATCAGCAGCTTTCTTCATGTGCTGCTGTAGCTTCATTTGTCTCGAGAGCATACACTCCCTGGGAGCGTGCTATTTATTAACAACCTCAAAATGGACCTTATTTTAAAGACATTTTGTTCTTCCTCTAGATCCAAAATGTCCAGGGGACGTGGATCTCCAAAGCGGCGATTGGGACATCAAAACGATTACCAGCTCACTGAAGTTTTATCTCAGGTAGCACTGCAGGTCACACCTGCCCTGAGTGGGCAAAGGAGCTTGGGGCTGATCCAGGTGAAAAGCAGAGTGAACTGCCAGATGTTAACATCTGGCTGTTGGAAAGGGCAAAGAAGTGACGAAGGCTTTGGGAAGAGGAATGGATTTTTTTTTTTTTTTTTTTTTTTTTTTTTTTTTTTAGTGAGGAGGGGGGTTTGGA